AATTGAACTAATCAATAGCTTCCTAACAAGCAATAACATAAGATTGTAGAGTACAAGACTCCTATAGTTTTTCGTTTTAGCACCAATCCACCTGTTCTCCCTGTAAATGTGTGAAAATGACTGATGTGTCCTATATGTGTGTAGCTGTGTTGTTCATCCTGGGCCAGATATAACACCCATAGCAAGCAAAAAGAAACAAGAAGACTGAAAAGATACACCAAGCAAACATAAACTAAAAAAAAAAAGAAAAAGAAAAAAAAAAAACACTATAATATTACTGTTAGTGAGTAAGACTTTAGAGGATCAGGGGCACAAGCCCGCTTACTGGACCTCTTACGTGACGAGCTGGCAAAATACCCCTAGTTGGTTGTGCCAAAAAAAAACCCAAAGAAGAAGAAGAAGAAGAAGGTATTTGCGCAATATTAATTAGGCAGATTACCTTGAAAATCATTGCTGCCGTATTTCTAATATAGTTTTTTGCAAATTTCTCAGTTTTTAATTACAATTATATGCTTTTACTATTTTTTCTGTACTCATAACAGCACCAGACAACACCTCCAGGGGAATGATGCCAATTTTGAATCACCCTGTAGTATGTCAATGATCACAAGCAAGGTAAAAATTGCAACTTTGTCTTTGTCATTTATACCAGAACGCTTTATATCCGCTAATAACAAGATAATGTACTAATGGTGAACACTTAATTTTGTATATAAAGGTTTACTAAATATGATGATTTTTTAACTAATTTTTAACTTCATATGAAATAATAATAATAGTAAAAAGTAGAACTTAAAACTGGCAACAAATAACTATCTTTCTTTGTTTAAGATGTCGGGGCCCAAGTTAGCCAACGGTAAAAATAAAAACATACGCCTGTCCGCTTTTAGGAACATTTCATGCTAAATAGTTGCAAATTACTTTACAGTTGTCTACACAGACTACATACTATTTAGACCCCTCACTCTTTTAGGACCGCTGGCAGCGCTCTTGCGGTCTGAGACACCTAGCTTTCAATTTAGCGCCATATTCAATTTTAGCTTAGACTTTTTAGGGTTATGGGATAAAAATACACTGGCAAAGCAATTGGATAAATACGTATTGATATTTTGTACACTTGTTACATACATTACACATTGGAAAATATAAGTTATAATAAATAAAATCGTTATTTAATAATGGTTTTTGGCGGACATTTGTCATCGTTATAAAGCAAGGTATCAATAATCGGCTGAACATCTTTATAGCAGTTCAATTGCAATTACAATTGATGATGACAACATAATCATCAGTTAACGATAACCTTTCTTAAAAGGTGCTACCTATTTATCTTTAAATAAATTAGATGCTCATATAAATAAGAGCATTGGTACATACGTGTAACAAAGAACATTTCGGCAAACCGGATTTTCATCTTCAAATTTTAATATCCATAGTTTTTACAGCTGCAACTTTCCTTTTCTGCTCCAACTTCACCATAGCCGCAGCCAAGAATGCTGCTCTAGGGGTGGATCTCCTGTAAAGCAGGCAAATATAAAGGCCTCCGCATTAAACTACATTCAGCTTATTGGTTGAGCGTTTTTTGGTTAACTGGTTTCAAGAAGGCTGCTTCGAAATCTAAATGAGATGCATCTAAAACCGGAAATATAATCAGAAGGGTGGCTGCATTTAGTAGCACCCACTAAATTCTTCATACTTACCTTAAAAGTAAGTAAGTTAATAAGGCAAAAAGTGCCTTTTTGCCTTATTAACAATAACATCCACACTTATGTTCCATTTAAGATATTTGTTAAAATAAGCACTGACATACTTCACTCATAATCTATACTCCGGGCTTGTCTTTATCTATGACTCCCGAGTATGACCATCAAATATGATCGATCGAAGAAATATTTCCTATCGCTAATGGAAAACCGATAATGAAAAAGACAAGGTTGTAAAAAGCACCAAATATAAAAGCCGACGAAACATCTGTGCATTGTGAATTCCTGTGAAGCAAATTAGAATCACTTAAGTAACCATTTTGTTTTGTTATTGGAAAAATATGGTTAAAATTTTCACAACATGACCAGTGTTGCCAGGTAGCGACTACGAATGCGGTAGAATAGACATAAAAAACATAGATTAGATAGATAGTTATAAAATAGATTTAAAAACAAAACGGGAAATAATTGAATGTTTGTAAATTTGAGCGTTTCGAACTTTTTAAGTGGTCTTCAGCCAAGAGTGTGTTAGCGTAGTTCCGAGGCGTGCTTTAGGAAACGAAAAATGAAAAAAAACAGGTAATCCAATCGCCAATCGCAGTGCAATGTAGCTGGTTTGTTGACAAATAGTGTAATATATAATAGTTATATTTAAAGTGTTTAACGTAACGTTTAGCAGTAGGTCCTTATGGCTTAGCGGTAGAGCAGCAGCTCTCATGAAAATGGGAGACCCACCGTAAAAACGGTAGACCTGGCAAGCCTGAAAATAACTTCTTCGATCAGCTGAGATCAGCTGAGAGGCGCGATAACAGCGCGCTCATGGTCTGAGTAAACTATATTAACACAGAACTGTCATTACACGAGAGTGAACAGGCCCTGGTTGTCTATTTCATATGTCATTCAAGTACAAGTTCTATTGTGTGATTCAGGCATCCATTAATATAAAAATAGAATAAATTTGTTGTGTTTATTAGATTATTAGCGCTGTTATAACAATTATAGATAGTTTATCAAATTAATTCATCTGTTAAAAAAGAAGCAACATGTCCACACCAGCACGTCGCCGACTGATGAGGGATTTTAAACGGTAAGTACTTCATGTCGTTTCCTTCGCAGAATTGATTTTACTTTGTTACCAAAAAAATGTCCCGCTATAAAACGCATTAAATACCATCTGATTTAACATGTTTAAATCTAGGCTAAACCTTAAAGAGGGCTATTTCAGTCCAATTGGGGTGTTGTTTTTTTGTCACTGTGGCCTTTGGATGGCCTCTAAAGCTGCTTGTCCCAAATAAGAACAAATACAAAATTATTGCCAGTGTTTGACCTCGATATTGCAGATTTTTTATAGATAACCAAGTACATTGTATTTTGGCATGACACGAAGGGATTGATCAACAATTTATGCATACAACCCTCGATACAACTATAATCATTGTTATTTTAACAATTTCATCAGAAGCAAGATTGAAGCTACTGAAACCATAATGATATTGGAATATAAATTACGTATCTGATCAATCCAATATACTACCATCTCAATGCTTTGTAGGTACATACGTCTTACGTGTTAAATTAAACTAATTGATATTCAATAACTGTTATAAATGTAGTAGGTATTTCTTATTAATCAAAAATGAGTATGAGTATCTAAGCCGTGTTGCGTTTTCAAATGTAAATTTACAAGGCTATATAGGTAATACTTTAAATATTTACAGTGATTCTATATAACTTTATCATAACACATTTTTTAAATTAATCTTATTGTTCTTATCTGAACCACAAATTAATTCGTCATTGCATCACCTTTCTACTGCCCCACATAATAATGCGACCTATTCAAAATTAGCAACTTGTGCTACTTTGCCGATGACCCGTGTACAATGACGAGCAGAATTCAAGATATTTACTACCACCTAATTATGTTCTGAGCCGTCCATATGCTCGACCGAATTCCTAGGGTCTTGACTTTCTGCAAATATTATGCTTTTTAGTTTTTAGCTTCAGATAATCGTACCTCGTTATTGGTGTTAATCTTGTTCTAAATGGTAATATTTGATATTTATGTGCTTATGCCAGTTACTTACCGAGGTAAAGAAGCTCTGTGCATTTCACATATTTTGTCAGTAGTTAGTGTCGTGAGCATAATTTATTCTGTGTGTCTAGAGTAGATTTCTTAATGCAGAAATGTCCTTTATAGACAGGATAGGGCCGAAGATGCTTTACAATACCTACGCTAATTAATTTGGCTGTAAATGTTGATTTAAGAACAATAATGAAACCAGTCTTAGCGTTGAAAACTAGAATAGAGATAACGTTCCATCCACTATTAAACATAAACATGTCAAGCTGAAAAACACACTCATAATCGATTATTATCACATAAACTACGAAACAAACGATTTTTAGCACACCTCAAATTAGATCACACAATAGACTTCTTACTACACCGTCAAAAGATCCACATAATAGCTTCTTAAACAATATGCAACTCTTGGAAATGTTTGCTAAATGAACCACCCCAAAAGCAACTAAACTATTTTTATTACCACCCATTAGAGACCACAAAACAATTAATTAAATTGGTTTTGAACCTGAAATCAGACTAGCCTTCAAGGTCATTATCACTGTTAACATATCATGTGTTCGAGATTAAGGATCAGGAACAAGATTGTTCAGGAGTACTTCTCATAGTATAATGGGAACGATGAACAGGGTGTGACATTCAGCATCTGAGAAAAACAATTCTAGTTAACAAGAGATGAGTAGTTTGCACATCGTTTCAACAGGCCAGGCAGCAATTAGTACTTTAGCCATTTCACAATTTTACATGTAATGCGATCAATTACCATAAGAAGATGTTTATAGGAATGTTGGTCATTTTCTTGGTACCAAACACAAAGCTTTTGGAAACCAACACTGAGGTTTCTAACGAAATTTGAAATTATTTTATCAAAACAACCAACCTCATCAAAGTCAGGACAACTCTGATGAGGATTAATTTAACCTTATTGAACCAGTAAAATTTTACATTAGTAAATTACATATGCAATTAATCGTAAAATCTCGCAGAGGTACACGTAGGTACCTGTTGGCAGGACTGGAAGAACTTACTACTAACTATAACTAACTTAAAATTAAACTTAATTTCAAATTTGCACACTGTTTACGGAAGAGTTTATTAGACTACACATTCAGCCTGGTCCATTCCTTTAATTTACTTTTCGTTGTTACATCATTTTTTAATATTTTAAGTTCGTGCGGAAGCTCATTAAATATGCTAATGGCCCTAATATAGTTATTCCTTATGCTTACCGTTCTACTTCTTTGTGCAATCTGTATTGGTTTTTTTCTTGTTATTCTAACTGATTATAATATTCTTATCTTTCCTGGGTCTCAGTCAAAGTGTGAAGTTAAAATTTTGAACATCGTTTATTTGATTACGTTTCGGCGAGACAACAGCGCCATCATCAGATTTACAGTTTACACAAACTCATGATTGGTAAAACAATTACAGACAAATTTAAGGTTTCAAGAAGGCAAAGACCTAAAAGAACGGTTATTTTTACCAATCATGAGTTTGTGTAAACTCTAAATCTGATGATGGCGCTGTTGTCTCGCCGAAATGAAAGTAAACGATTACTTCACACTTTGACTGAGATCCAGGAAAGATAAGAATATCATAACAAGTACACGCAGTCATGAAAATAAATCAGAATTTTAACCGATGGCAGAAATTTATTTTTTAAGTCATTGTAATGGAATTCTAGTGATTCATATGCAAAAAGTTGTCTTATGTTCAAAGGATTGGCATCATTCATGAAATTGTTTTTATTTATTATGTTAATATCCTATTTTGTAAACTTTATAATAAGTTTGAGTTGTTTGAATACGCTCCACCCCACGCTATAATTCCATAGCTCATAATGCTGTGAAAGAATGCATAGTATACCACCCTTAGAGTCTGTACTTCCATAAACCCCCCTGTTGATAAATGTAATATTTAAAAGACAAATATTAAGTACATATTTTGTTTTATTTATTACATTTTCTATGTGCTGTTTCGATCTCATGTTCAATTCAAAAACTATTCCCAAATATTTGCAGTATTCTACTTTCTTTAAAATATTTCCCTCTATTTGACATGTAGTACCTACATATTGGAACGCTGTTATATAGTTTCCAAATGTTATATAGACCGTTTTTTTTAATGTTTAAAAAAAGCTTGTTCAATGGTAGCCAATCGGAGATTTTCTCTAAGAAGTTATTCATCTTGATTTCAACCTTTCTCTAGGTCATCTGTTGATATAACAGCTGTATCATCCGCATATAATATAATTATGTCATTAGGCATACGTTTCAATAGATCACTGCCTTATAGTATAAAGAGTACAGGTCCTAATATTGCTCCTTGCGGGACACCTGTGTTTACATCTTCATATTTACTTATTGCACCTCTAAGTTTTACTCTTTGGTTTCTGTTAGTCAAGTAACTTTTAATTAGTTTATGTGCAATCCCCTTAATTCCATAATTATATGGTTTGTCCAATAACATTTTATGATTCACCGTGTCAAATGCTTTGGTCAGATTCAAAAATGCTACAGCAATTGCCTTACTTTATTATTAATTAAAGTTATTAGTTTAGTATAAATTATATTTGTTATATGATTTAGTGCATCCTTTGTTCCTCTACCCTTAACAAATCCAAACTGACTCTTAACTATAAGATAGCTGACATATTCAGACATACATACAGGTTGTCGCAATAAGGATGGTAAGCGGCTGTATCTCGGAAAGTATGTGTTGTAGTGATAAAAAAAAATTGTTAACAAACTTGAAGAAAATAATTTGCTGGAAATTATTTTGAAATTTCTCAGATGACTACTAGATGGCGTAATTGCAAACGGTATTTTAAAAAGTCGACTTTATACAGAAATATGTGAAACATCTAGTAAGTTTAGTCAAAAGACCATAAAAACCGTACTATGTACTTTCTTTATGAAGTTTTTCCTTAACGTGCCAAATAGAGAAGAGGAGAAAGTCAAACCGCTTAATTCAAAGAAACCTGTAACTCCGAAACGGCTTGACCGATTTCAAAGTTTTTGCTATCAATTGAAAGGGCAATAAAAACTCGACAATATGTGATATAAAAACAATCTTAATAATTTTCGAAAAATCCGCTGTTCGAAAAAAATTTTTTGTTTTCATTTTTCACAAAAATTTCAAATGCTTCTATCAAGTTATTTTACACGCATTTGAAAGCACAGGAAAAATGAACCAAACCGCATCTCAAAATAGTTTCTGGAACCGATTTAATTCTTGAAAATAATAAGGGTTGCCGAATTCAAAGAATTAAAGTAGGCTTTGGATAAAAAAAAAAGAACAAATCATATTTTACATTATTTGACATTTTGTATTATTATTTGTCATTAAGTTACACTCTAAAATTAATTTCTCCAATTCTGAAACTTACAATATGTTTAAAATTTATTTTCAATCTTTTGAAAATGCATGTTTGACAGAACGAGAGTATGCTAATACATACGTAGACGATTTTTTGAGAGACGAACAATTCAGCGGCTAACAAAACGGTTTTGTGAAACTGGTAGTGTCCACGCCGTACGAAGAAAAAGGGCAAGGACTGACCAAACGTTATTAATGTTTTAGCTTATGCACAAGTCAATCCGCAGTTAAGTACAAGACAAATTTCTTTATACCTTGGAGTAACAAAAGACACCATTCGTCGCATCTTAGCTGACAATAAGTTTCATCCATATCACGTTTCTTTGCATCAAGCACTTTCCTATATGGATTATAATGCACGATTAAATTTTTGTAACTGGTTAAAGCAAATGTACACAGAAAATAATAAGTTTTTATCGCGCATGTTGTTGACTGATGAAGCCACTTTTTGCAATACTGGATCAGTGAACTTACATAATGCGAATTATTGGTCAACCGAGAATATCGACTGGTTGAGACGAGTTGATCGTCAAAATAGGTGGAAAATGAATGTACGGTGTGGCATTGTTGAAAGCAAAATAATAGGTCCTTTTGTTTTCAACGAGTATCTTAATGGAGATAATTATGTAAGTTTTTTAACAAATGAACTTAATGGACTGTTAGAAAATGTCCCACTGGAGACAAGAAGAACCATGTGGTTTCAGCAAGATGGATGTCCTGCTCACTATTCAAGAAATGTACGCGACCATTTAGATAGAACTTTTTCCAACCGCTGGATAGGAAGAGCTAGTTTATTCCCATGGCCAGCAAGATCTCCAGATCTAACTCTGTCGGATTTTTATCTTTGGTGAAGATTAAAAGATATAGTTTACAAAACTGTTCCCACAACTCGGGCAAATATGATAGGTCGTATCACAAATGCCATCCATAGCATTCCACAAGCCGAAATTGAATGTGCTGTATTTGGCACTAACCGCAGGATAGATATGTCTGTGACGAATGACGCAAAACATTTTGAACATTTATTATCTTAATGTTTATTTTAGGTAAACTTTTTTTTCTCGTTTTTAAGATGAGTATTTTCAGTTGTTTTGTTGAAAAAAATGCATTTAAATCAATTCTTGAAATACGTAATTTTGAATTGGGATTTTTGTGGTTCGTTTTATTTTTCCCGCTATTTCCAAACTTACTAGATGTTTCGCTTATAGGGACAATTTCTAGTTTAATTATTTGAATTAGACAACCTTTTTTATTTTTAAGTATTAAATCGAATCCAGAAATTATTTTGAGATGCGGTTTTTGCAGTTTGGTTTATTTTGTCCTGTGCCTTCGAATGCGTGTAAAATAACTTGATTGGAATTTTTGTGAAAAATGAAAACAAACTATTTTTTTTTAACAACGGAAAAGATTATTTTTTTCTTTTCTAAAAGGATTAGGATTATTTTTATATCACATATTGTCGAGTTTCTATTGCCCTTTCAATTGATAGTAAAAACTTTGAAATCGGTCAAGCCGTCTCGGAGTTACAGGTTTCTTTCAATTGAGCGGTTGACTCTTCCCCCATCCTTCATTTGACAAGTTAGGAAAAAAGTTCATACGGAAAGTAGTACGGTTTTTTATGGTTTTTTGACTAAACTTACTAGATGTTTCACTTCTCGGAACAATTTCTGTACAAAATCGACTTTTTAAAATTCCGTTTGCAATTACGCCATCAAGTGGTCATCTGAGAAATTTCAAAATAATTTCCAGCAAATTATTTTCTTCAAGTTTGTTATCAATTTTTTTCCGATCACTCCACAACACATAATTACCGCTTAGCATCCTTATTGCGACATTCTGTATAATCAGATATATTTCTTTTATAAGATTTCTCTGGCTGTTGAGGAAAACACTTTGTCATTTCCCCAGTGTAAACTATAATTGTCTTAAGCGTAAATTTTCAAATAATTCTCTGCGTTTCTAAGTTTGAACAGTTCGTTCTCAAGATATAGTTGTGTTTAATAGTTAAACCAAAGCAATCGTCAGAAATTGTTGTCACTCTGAAATAAACTAATAGCTTGTTTCGCCCAATACAAGCCTCTTCTCCTCCTTCTCGTTCTTGCGATATTGGCATTCATATAACCTGGGCGCAGAAAGTAGGGCCCACAAACTTCCAATGCCAAAATAACTGATAGAAAGAAATATTCGACATGTACAAAGCACTTGGAAGGTTTTACTATCCAACCGCAAACAGTCGAATGTATTTGACAATAAAAATAAGTATACATTGATGGTCAGAAAAGACAGAACACTTTATTTCAAATTAAATGAAGTACATATTACTAGTTAACCAGATTTTTGATAAAAATTTACGAATAACAAAATTTTAAATTAAACGGAAGTTTCCTTCTTAATCATTTTAATATCGTGCATTGCTGGCTCTAGCTCGAATAACTTCCATGTCAATGAATAAGCTATGTGATTAATTCTTAGGTGTGTTGAGCCATTCTTCCGAAGCCGCGGTTCCCAGCTCAGCCAAGTTCCCAGGAGACGGATTCCGTCGTCAAATACGTCATTTAACCTGATTACATACATATTCTATCAGGTTCAGGCTAGGACAGCGCGCTGGCCACACTTAAATCTACCCCAACTTTATTCAGATTATTGCACTACGATCGGAGCGTTTGCCATCTGCCATTATCATCCATAAATTAAAGCTTGTCGCTTATGTGAGGTGCAAGAGGTATGAGATGTTGCAAAATATCTTGGATATACCTCCACCGCGTACGTGCATCCAAAGAAATGCGGTCCCAAAACACCACGGAAAGCTAGTTGGATACCGATATTGGATGTATCTTTATCATCGCTTGTGTATCTTTCACCTCGTCTTGTCTTGATGAAAACTCTCCGATCGAAAAATGTTAAGATCAGATTTTATCAGCTAACAAAACGTGTCCAACTATCCAAACTCCAATCACGGCCACGAGGACATTTTTTGGGATGTTTTGTAGTCAATCCGGATCTATTAAGTCTTTTCACTGTTTTGGACGAGGTTGTATTATTTCTTCTTGAGAGAGAATTCTTAATGTTTGTAATCGTCTATTTGGTTTGTCGGTCTTATTCGTTCTGGTTCTGGTCGTCTAGCATGGCAACCAGTTTCTCTTAACCGCCAAACACATCTGAAAATTTCGGTGTGATGAACATTCAACATCGGTACAACCTCACGTTCTTCTTCCAACATGACGACAATTTTAGCTGTATCATACTCATTTAAATCCATTCCTAGAGACATTTAACTTACCACAAGTAAAGCAAACGCAAGGAAGAATTGATTACTGCAAATGGGACAAAACAAGTAGAAACTTGCATTGAAATGATTAGAAAAGATGGTTACGGTATTTACCAGTCGGGTTGAGAACAAAAATTGTATATTCAAGAATATGTTTCAAGTAATTATATACTTTAAGTATAAGACTTCACTGAGTAGTTAGCATTATTAGACGGATGATTTTAAAACGAAGTGCAGTACTTTAACATTAATACTTTCCTTTTCTTGAAACCAGTTCGAATGCGTGTACAATATTATAGAATAACTTCAAACGTATGAAAAATAGAGCTACAAAGAAGTAAAAAGGTTAGCAGTTTAATGAATACAATCATGTCCTAGATAGAGTGTGAGTTAAATAAATAGAGATTATATAAATATCCTAAATTGTATGCATATTTTTAAATACATTTAAACTTTAACCTTGTATACAACTCATGTTTATGTATAAGTGTTTAAGTATTATTTTCGGACATATTCAGAGAATATGCGAACAAATGTTCCTACAAAAATCAACATCTCATGTCTTGCATATTTTTCAACCGACTAATAAACGCATGAACATTAAAAGTATCAGTTGAAATATACTATTAGTGAGAAAGATAATAAAGTCCACTTCAGTTGGCAATATATGGGAAATTTTTATTATTAATTTTACGAAAGAAGATTTTAAAAAAAGTTTTACATATCTAAAATACGATCATCAGGTATTAAACTTTCAGTCGTAAACGCGGTTTTTCAGAAAATATTCATTTTACACAGGGAAACGTATCTTTATGTCAGACAATTTAGAAAATTGTTATTAAAAAAGATTGATTACAACTAAGAACTACGTTCAAATATGTAATTACTTCCTACTAGTTAAACATTTTTTGTGCAAATTTTCATCAAATTACCTACCGATAGCAAAAATGTATATTTTTAATTTATTACAAACGTGATAACATTTCCGTTCCGTAGAGAAACTATTAACCAAATTCTCACAAGTTAAAATTTGAACGTAACTATACATACATTTGCATTGTTATTCTAGACAAAATTAGGACATTTGTTTAATAGCAGGACGCATGCATATTTGATAGTAGTTTTTAGTTCTGATCAGTTTTTTGTAATAACAGTTTTCGATATTTTCAAAAATAAATGTACTAGACACTTGAGCAAAATTTATATCGCGCGTACACAACTGAAAAAATATCATATCTGGTGATTGTCTTTTACATTTTAGAACATACAGAACTTTTTTTAAATCTTAAATTTTCTTGTAAAATTAGTGAAAAGTGGAACCCAAATGTTGCATCAAAAATCGTTTCTATTTAAATCGGCTTATCCTCTTCTTGTTCAATAGCGAGTGAATGAATCAAGTTGATGACTAACGGTGTTGTAGAAGTTAGTGAATTTTTTTCCTGTATGAGTTCTGATCAAGTTTCATGTGATTTTTATTAATTAATTCAAAAAGAAGAGTTGTTTGGGCACTTTTAGGTTGTCTGATTATGTTCTGTATGGTGATTGGTGTTTCAATGATGTTGGTCAATTACTTAAATGCAGAATTTTTTTATGCACATTATTTGTCTTTTTACCCTCTAAACTTAATCTTATTTATAAACTAAAACAAAAATAAAATGGCTGAAGGAAACCCAACACCAACAATCCGTTTTGTTAAAATAAAATTGCGCGCTCAAGTGCCAATATGAAAATAGAGCACGAGAAGTCCCGCTCTATGAGTCAAATGGCAATGTTTACTGGCGTCCATCTTAAGAACAAAATACCAGTCGAATAAAGTTTTATCTCAACTATTATAACTTGGGGATGAGCATTCGCACTTAAATCTAGCAATAAAAATGTAGAGAATTACTTTCATGGTAGAAGCATAAGCAAGATCAATACGATATACTTGATATATAAATATTTGTATTTCGAATATGTTTGTTATCTCAAGCTGTTGACAGCTATTACTGCCATTCCAACTAACTGACTAAGACAGTTGGATGATCTATAGTTTAATTCTGATGAATGAACAACAAAGCGGCGTTATTGATTATGGCTGATAATAACAACTGTTTTGGGACATCTATTGCAATGAAATGGAATCCACTACATACTGATATTTTGAAACATCAATATAAGGCAAGACAGGCCGACATATATGAAAATGGCAATAGCAAATTAGATAAAACCTTTATATGATTGACTGATCTTCATAACAAAATAATAATTTGGTTTTTTGCAGTCTGCAAGAAGACCCGCCTACCGGAGTTAGTGGAGCACCTACGGACAACAACATTATGATATGGAATGCTGTAATATTCGGCCCACATGACACTCCATTCGAGGACGGAACGTTCAAATTAACGATCGAATTTACAGAAGAATATCCCAATAAACCGCCAACAGTTCGCTTCGTTAGTCACATGTTTCACCCCAATGTTTATGCAGACGGCGGTATATGTTTAGATATTTTACAAAATAGGTGGAGTCCCACATATGATGTATCAGCTATTTTAACTTCAATTCAAGTAAGTAGTTAAACTTCAACATGTAAAAGCAATGAGAAATAATTGAATCGGAAATTGAAAATCGTACTGAACTTCCGAAAATACCTACTGTAAATTTCTCAGTATAAAACCTCTAAAAAGGCGTCAGTCAGCTGCAGTGTGTTAGAACGATCGACAATCATAATTTTTATTTTCTCCCCGTTATCTTAGAGCGGGTCTGAAGTCTCGAATCGGATTAGCAGGTCCAATTTCGCTCATACTGCTATCAACACTGGATCGAACGTATATCTCAGGATTGAAACTTTTTAAATGCCGTTGAGAATTCTGAATTCCATTCATCTTCTTCTTTAGGTACCTTGGGCGAACATCGAACGTTAGCAGTCATATTAGTATGGTTCTAATCTCTCTGTTTACCGCAGCTCGGAAGATTTCTATTTTCTCTTTACTAAGAAAGTTAGTAAGAAAGTAGCTTTACTAAGAAATATAGTGCCTCATCACGTGGCCGAGTTATTCGAGTTTTCTCCACGCCAGTTCGTTTCTTCTAGAGTAACGTGTTAAGGCCGGACAGATCTATCCGATCCGACTCCGATCAGAGAACCTTCCGTCGATGACCAATTAATCGGATCGGTGCGTGATCGGAAACGGGAAGCCACACATGTCATACACGTTTCAGTTGCCGTTCCGATTTTTGGACGAGTGCAAATCACAGATTATCAAACTATTCCTAAGACTAAGTCCAAATGTATTAATTGGCTTTACCGTTTTTCATATAGACACTC